GCACTTCAAAGGGAGCCTGAAATGCTATATTAGCATAATGTCCCCTATGGCTGTGATGGAAAGAAAATGGGCCACTTCACATGTTTCTCTCTGAAATGTGTTTGCTAAGGTTGGGTTCGAACCATTATTGAATCTACAGTAAGTCTGAGTGTAAACTTTTCGAAAGAAACTTTTCAAACCAAGACTCTTCAGTGTGAGTCCTTTACTGATACATTATACTTGACAACAGACAGAAATGCATCATGGGGGATCAAATCAGTTATGATAATTATGTATTTGGTTTATTTAAAAGTGAAGCCACAGTGTTTTGATCACAACCTGGTGGCTGGCTGTGGAATAGGTCATAAAACCTGCCACCTTCATGTTAACAGATGGAACACTGACCAGAAATTGTTTGTCATTTTAGGTTGTTCTTATAATGCTGATGTTTGTTCAAGTGTCATTTTCTCAGTAGGCTTGGTGTTAATTAGTTATTCAATGCTTCATGTCATGATTGACAGCAGACACTGAATTGCAATTAGAGAATACTAACATATTTAAAAAGTTACCAATCGTTTCTCCTTCAAAGCCTCCTTGAAGAGTACCAGTGTAGACTCACCTTGAACACGACGGAGCGTCTCATCTTTAGTGTTAGGCAGGCAGACTGAAAACACCTCCAGGACTCATAAATATCAGTTTTAAGATACTGTGAGAGTGTTCATCATGCAATGTGATTTAGAGTCTTGAGGATGACAGTTTTCATGTTTTGGAAAAGTACGATTCTGATTAGATGCCAAACCACGATGACTTATCTTGTCCAGGTTGTTTCTTGTTTTGTTCACATTTCCGCCAAAGATTCAAACTGTGGAGATGAACTTTTCTACTTTTTGATGGCATGTGTAGAAAGATCAATACCACACATCAGCGTGTTTGAGGTTTACAGCTCATGGCGTGGCGAACCCAAAAGTGTGAGAGGGCAAAACCCACACAAGCCTTTCAATAGCAATAACCCATACATTATTTATCACTGTGAACCATTCGTCAAGGTGGAAACACTATTAGAGTGCTACTTACGGCACGGAGCTAAAGGCCGAGGGGAAACGATGGTGCATGATGGTAATTGAAAAGCAGCATCCTTTTGTTTTTTGCTATAGTAATTACATTGTAACTATTCATTACCGTCCAATTACTTTGCACAAGGCCAACGTTCAGATCCAATCCTCATAATGACTCTCTCTTCCACTCATTGTCTCCTGATCCTGATTGTTCAAGCAAAATAACTGACTGAAAAAAAGAGCCTGAGTGATTCCAGTCATTTAATTATCAAAATCTGAACAATGTGAGGATCGAAAGGCGGCCAAGCCACAAAAGTACAGAAAATTACTGAACGGCTAAACTGGGATCTATTCAAATAAAACACACAGGGACCTTTTGTTCATAGTTTGCTGCCAATTCGGCAAAAATCATTCATTAATGAGTTGTTGGAGAGACAGTGTGTTTTTACGTCCAATCTTGGTTATATCCCCTTTGAGCAGCCAGGCAAAGCAAGACAGGCCGATGCACACACACACACACACACACACACACACACACACACACAGACGTGTTTACACTAAGGGACAAAAGTGTGCAGTAATGAAGCCATTCAGAGCTCGGCATCAGACTAACAGAGGCAGCCATTAAAACAAGTCAAATCACTGTTGAATCGTTTGCTCACACTTGCTCCATTGACCACAACAACTATTTAGAAAAGCAATAAGCAACGTATCAGGATCCTTTGTGACCAGACACCGAGGGGCTGTATTACCTTCTCTCTGGTTAACTCCACGTAACCACCGCAGAGCAGCACGACCAGGGGCAATATGAAACCGCGACGGCCTCTTTACTCGATAAGCCAGCAGCCGACCTGGCGTCTGACCAGCTGACCTCACACCACGGCGGCCATGTCGGGTCAAGTAGCCCATAAGGATGGAGGTGTCCTCAGACGCAGGGACAATGGTTTAGATTTCCATCTGAAGGTTTGCTTGGATTACAAGCGACTCTAAAGAGTGAAGAAGAGCTTTGTTGTTACATGATTACCAAGTATTTGGGCCAATTAAAGGAAAATAAATGTAATATTATGTGAGAAAGTAATTATATAGTGATGAATGAAGTCATAATTGTCGTGTGACATTTTATAGGGAGAATATCCAAAGATCAGTCTGTCGCGTGCATTAAAATGAGGAATGTGGAGCATCTGGTTAAGTTCTACTTTCAAAAAAGCTTTACAAGAAATGAAAGACTTAATCTTGTGTCACATCAGCACCACATTATTTAAAGTATCAAGATTTAGCAAGAAACTGAATCTATTGGAGTGAAACACACTGATATTTTGATATGAATGATATTTTATACAGAAATACGTTGTCTCCATGAATTCTACTGACTTTGGTACAGACAGTGTTGGTGTTGTTGCCTGTCAGTCATTCCTGTAGCCATTGTCATTTTTTCCAGCAAAGATTTATTAGAGATTTATAAACCAATGCAGTTATTCGATCACTGAACCGATATCTGACCTGTGTGTGTGTGTGTGTGTGTGTGTGTGTGTATGCAAGTGACAGAGAGGTAGAGAGACATTATTATCACACACAGACACACATTTACACAGGAGTGCCGCTGGGCTCCAGGTCTGACCCTGTTGTGTTAACCCAATCGTCAAGCTTCAATAAAAGTGATTAGAGAAGTCTTCCCCTGCTGCTCCCAGGCCCTGCTGCTGGACTAATGGCACAAGTGGGCCTCTTAAACTTTCCACAACATCTGTGCCAGTATTGAACCATGCGGATGGATGGAGCACTGGGGCCAGGAAGCCACAGCAGACTGCAGGCAGGGAGGGAACGATAAGACAGACGGACAAACGGGGGGAAGACTGGACAGACACGGTAGATGGATAGAAAAATAAATCAATACATACCCAAGATTTGTCTCCATCTAGTTCTATCT